ACCCTGTGAGCCACCTAGCAGATGGATATCGTCAGCAATGAACAATTCAACTGTCTGAATATTCTTGCGTCGTTTCCATTGCCTTGACAGCACATCCCACTGAATGGGTGTTGCTAATATCAAGTCTCCCTTCTCGAGAAGCTTGAGATCAGTCGCTGTCTCGCCAGTCAATTTGACGATTTCCTTTCCACCGTTCAGTTGGCTCAACCGCTTTGTCCAGTCCTGAAGGCGAGCATCAACGAGCTCCTGGAACGGCGCAATGTAAACGGCCCTTCCTGAGTCCGCCCTATTCCAGTGGCGGAGAAGTGCAAATTCGGCACAAACTGTTTTGCCACTGCCCGTGGGAGCCCCTACAAACACATTCTTGTCTGTCTTGTACAAGGACTCGAAAGTTTGAGTTTGAATCTTGTTGAACTGTCTCCAATCGGGATACAAATCGATATAAGTAGAGACCTTCAAAGCCGAAATTGGAAGCGACTGCAAGTCGAGGAGCTCAGTGTGGGGTGGGAATTTTTCGGGTAGAATAAGCTTGTGGAAGGGAATGGCCAGTCTCGTCTCGGCATGCATCCATCGATCCGAGACCACTGAGACGAAGTAATTCGGTGGCATAGGGTCTGTGATGGGGACTGTGAACTCCACCAAATGTTCATTCGACTCGGACTCCACATAGTCCTTTCGAAGAATGAAACTGTCATGGAAGAGAACATCCTCCCCATCACTGTCCTCCACGATGATCCAGAAGCTTTCAGATGTACCGTGGTACGCATCGTCCCATTCGAAATTTGGCGTAATGCTCAGTTCAACACGGATTATGGATCTTGTCATGGGCTGGACCGAGGCCTGTACCTCCAGCCGTGGGAATTTGGAAACCAATGCGCAAACCGCACGGCTAGCCTTAGGCATACCCAAGAGTTCACCCATGCGGGGAGGGTCAAGGTCAAAGTAGCTCTTCCAAGGAACTTCAACTCTCTCGGCCTTTTGAATAATATCTCTGCCGCAGTCGGGGAACTGGCGCAATGGGGTCATTGTAGGCCACATGCGCTTCTCTGCCATCTTACACAGATCCAATGCCGTCTTCGCCACAGAGGCCCAACCCTTCTTGAGGGTAATCTCAAAGATCGCCCGTAGAATACGACCGGCACTCTGAGTTACGTAGACCATATCAGCCATGAGAGCCAGTCCGTCAAGCCTAAGTCTTGAGATGTAAGCTTGAAGGAGGACATTAATCTTCGCGTGTGGCTCCTCAATGCTCTCCTTGACTGGAATAGGAACCTTGCCAAGAAGCTTCGCCAGTTCTAGTTTCTCGTCTTGTCGAACAGGGATGTACTTGAATTCGGAACTGAGAGCAAAAACGCGGAAAAGCTCGATCGTTGTGATGGATGGCTGGATGAGGCTGTTGTAGGTGTCCATAGATCCGGCAGTGATGTAGTAGTGCGAAGCAATACGGCCCAATTCGGTGGACTGTAACCGCCCGGTCTTTTCATCATATTTGACCAAGTTCATCTTTTGAAGAACTGTGGCAGCAGAATGAATAAGATCAACACGTTTTTGCTCAAGAGCATCGTCATCCTCATATTCGGCCCCTACTTGGTAAAGACCAGGTGATCGGAGCATACGGACATAGAGGTAAGTGTATCCAAGCCATTCAACACCTTCATCCCGTGTTCTGACGTTGCCTAGCACTATCTCCGCATTGAGGTTGTCCACGAGCTTGCTGACGAACTGACTCTCAATAGGAAGCTGCTGATTGAGCAAAGATAGGTAATATTGGATTTCGCTCTGGGTAGTGATGATGATGCCTTCTCCATATGTATCGAACTGAGGTCGTCCAGCTCGTCCAAGCATCTGAAGCACGTCTTGGGGACTGAGTTCAACCCAGCTACCCTTCTCTGGTGAATAAACCTGGGTTCCTTTGATGATGACTGTGTGGGCAGGCAAGTTCACACCCCAAGCCAGAGTGGCAGTGCACACAAGTACCTGGATAGCTCCACGAGCAAAGAGATCTTCAACATCAGTTCTGTCGACACGGCTCATGCCTGCATGATGAATGCCGAACCCATAAGGGAGAATATCTTTCAGGTCCTTATCCGTTGCTTGGGAAGCTGCATCATTGAGAAGTTCTCGACTGCCAGCATCGTGGCGAAGAATCTGATTGATAGTCTCGTTTTCCAATGCTTTGTCTCGGATGTACTTGGCTGTTTTTGCAGTTTCCTTTCGCGAGTGAACGAAAATGAGCATCTGATTCCTGTTCTGCCCAACATGTTCTATCACTTTGGTGTATGTTACATCGTTCATCGTCTTTAACTGCTTAATTGCCTTGCGGTCTGTGATACCGACGAATTCCTGGCGCAACGGGCAGGGACGGAAGGAGCCATCAAAGTGATATAGGTCCTTGTTGACGTCGACACGTAAGAAGCTTGCCACATCTCGATAGTTTGGCAAGGTCGCAGACAAACCAACCAAACGTACAGGCTCGCCTGTTTGCTCAGTCTTTCGAATAGTTCTGCTGACAATACTTTCGAGAACCGGGCCACGGTCATCGTGGAGCAGGTGAATCTCGTCAATAATGATCAGGCGCACCAGATTGGTGTAGGTCAGATCATTGGACTTGCGGGTAATAACATCCCACTTTTCGGGCGTTGTCACAATAATCTGGGTCTCTGCTATTTGCTGTTTAGTGAGCTGCCGGTCACCAGTCAACTCAGCCACCTTGACGCCGTAAGGCGCCAGCCGGTTGCCAAAATTGCCAACCTGTTCTTGAACCAGAGCTTTCAGAGGCGCAATATAGACAATCTTGAAAGCATCAAGATCAATGTCGCCGGTCTCCGGGTTCCGGTTCTTCCCAAGTTCTCGCAGGATAGTCAACATGGCCACGTTTGTTTTTCCACTACCGGTTGGTGCACAAATGAGCATATTGCCGTCGTTCTGGAATGCTGAGGGGTAACACTTTGTCTGAATCTTGTTGAGCGACTTCGCAGAACTAAAAGGAACACGCGACCACTCAGGGAGATCTGTGATGGGGATGAGTGAATCGCCAGGCTCGTTCGACTTCTTGGGGGGCGGGACATGAATCTCCTCGTATCCTTTGAAGCTTCGCTTCGTCGATCCTTCTGGCAGTCGGACCTTTGCGTTGGTCATGAGATGGTTGCCTTGGTCGAAGACAAGATTGTCGAGATTAATCAGCTTTCTGGGCTGTAGGCCGCCGACGAGCTGGCCCTCGGCTTTCTCTTCCTTGAGGGCGTCGGCCTTGATAGAGTCAGGAACATCAATATCCATCTTGATATCCATCTTCTTTCCGTCATTTGCTTTCTTTCCGTGCAATTCGTTGAGGATCCACTGAAGACCTTCGGAGGCCATCTCTCTTTCCACCTCGGCTCGTTGCTCGTCGTTCTCCGACCGTGTGAGTTTTGTGAGCCAGAACACCTTTTCTCTGTTCTCCACCAGCTTTTGTACGAGCTCGTGATGTTCAAAGTCAAACAGCTCCATTAGATCGTTTTCGATTTCTCGCAGCGACTTTTCCTCACCGCCAGCCTCATCGGGCTCGCCCGAAAGAATCCGCAGCGCATCCTTTGTCTTGTCTGTCTGCTCGTGAGCGTCGGGATAGAGGCTGCCGACCTGGCGCTGCAACCAAAATGCGTCAATGTCCCGGGCTGGAACAGAATGCTTCTCCTTATCCTTTTGTTTGCCAGCAACAGGACCGGAGTCTAGGATCATTTCGTCGTCACCATCAACATCACCATTGGTTGCCTGGGCTGCACCATCCTCATTCTCCTCGTCTTCGTCATCTTCATCTTCTGAAGACACGTCGCGGACCTCATTTTCTAACTCCTCATCCTCCGCCTCATCATCGAAGGTCACCGCAACACCCTGTCTTTCATCGATATCCGCATCATCGCCATCGGCGCCTCCCATCTCAGCGTCTTCATCATCCTGGGCGTCGTAGTCGGTAATCTTCTTGCCCAGGTTGACCAACTCGTTGAACTGTTTAGCGGGCATTGTCGTCCCCAGGATATCATCAATCTCCTTCTTCTTATCCAAATCCTTCATATCATCATCTTTGAGGTATTCCAAGGTGACGTCTGCCGCGCTGCGAATAACGTCATGTGACACATCGCCTAGATTATTTGCCACAATAGTAAGGATAAGGTTAAAGGTTGCTCGCGTAGCCTGAGTTCGCGGCTGGTAGTTGAGGCCCTCGATGTGTGATTCGTTGGCCCCCAAGAGTCCTGTGGACTTTCCTCCTTTGCGCCGTTGCTCTCGAAGCAATACATCCTCGCCTTCTTTCAGGTCTCCCCTTACTACATCGTGCGGGCCTGTGTTTTTCTTCTGTCTAGGCGCCTCCTCGCGCGCCACGCGACCACCCATATCCTGGATACTCAGCCGGCCAGCAAGCGACTCTGGGTCGCCTGTCGCCTCGTCGGTTCGTCGCGTAACAAACCGACGGTCCGCCTGGAGAACCAGGTTGGACATGGCCGAGTACTTGTATTGGGAGACATCGCGATGTTGGTCCGACATCTTGCGCGTCTTGTCGAGTTTCGTGTAGGGAAGAGGGTTCGGGGGAAGTCGATGTGCTCGACAGCTCCGGGAGCTCGTATTTAGATGGTTTTAGACACCATATGTCCACCAACGAATTAAGCGCGTTCGGTTTCGGGGGATTGCTGCCTTCAGTCCCGGTGACTCAATCAAGCGCAATGTGGTTGACGATTCTACGTTCTCTCCGCCGCCAGTTTGTTGAGAAGGTATCATCGGCAGTCGATAAATTTCAGAGCCAGCCCCATAGGCAACAGCGCTAGCTCCAATTCTGATTAGTGGGGTCTCAATTGCGTACCTGGCGGAAGGCGCGCTGCAGCGGTCCTGGCAAGCCACAGCTGCACCAGCCACATAGACCAGTAAACAATAGGCACAGGGGACTTTCAGGAGCCAACCTTGGCTACTAACATGCCCGGATAGCACCTCTCATACCCTTTCAAGTCAATCTCGACTTGAAGGAATGAGCCAAGATGAAGGACGCATCTGATACTATTCGAGCTGTCCAGAGCGGCCTGGAGCCGTACATTAAGCCTCGGGAGCAGGTCAATTACATTCGACGCATTCTGGCCCTGCAGTTGGGCTCCTACACTAATGACAAGAAGCTGCCACAACCATTAGCACTCTCCAAAACACCGCATGATTTTTCAGGTGCTATTTCAGAAGCCAAAGGTGTCCATAAAGAGTATCTTCAGGCTCTGAAAGAGAATGAAGCTGCCCGTAGAGCTTTTGAGGATGTGCTACAGACCAAACCCAAGCAGGACTCAAGTGTATCACCCAGTGCTGGCACCGGAGGAGAGTTCTTAGAAGAACAGCTAGCAATACTCAAGCTTCGGCGAAAACGAGAAAAGTTCCTGGCTATACAGCAATGTATAGACGACCTCTTCGAGAAGCCTGCCGCCCTGCCGTCATATTTGGATGCAGACAATCTTTTTGCCGGGGCAGCCCAGCTTCCAACTGTTCCAAGGGAAATAGTCGAAAGTTTAGCTGTTGAGGGGAGCAAGGCAGGCTCGGATCCTAAAGCCCGGGAAGTCAACATGGAGAAGACGATTCTACGCGCGAAGCTGCTCCTTAGAGAAGAACAGGATCTTCTTCAAGAGGCGCGGTCAAGTTCAAGGAGTAACCCTGATGTTCTCAGCAATGCTGCCAAGGCCACTGCATTGGACGCAACGCGAAATGAACTCATCGGCTGGATGGAGGCGGAACTCGGCGCCGCAGGTTCAGAGGAGCCAAGCGGAGGTGTTCAACTCGGTGACCTCAAAGCAACTCAAGCTGCGCTCGCCAATGATTTGGCTCAAATCGGTCAGAGATATGCCCTATATTGCAGTTTGAGGAAAGATATACTGGCACTGGTATCGCAGTCACCACAGCCGGCGATCACACCCGATCTCCAGCATAAATCGTCACCGCATATTGCCCAGCCCGAAAATCCCGACATTGACTACCTTCTTACTCCGTATATCACAAAACTGTTAGCTCTTTCCAAGACTCAAAAGGCCATGATCAGTCAAAAGGCACACATCAATTCCACGCTTGGCCAGTATACGAAGGACTCTGGCCAAATATTTGATCGTCTTGCTGAGGAGAGCCAGTTGCTCCCTGCACATCACAACGACACAGACTCGCGACCAGGGCTGACAGATCCGCTATCTAAGAGTTCGCATTTTCCCGAAGCCACAAGTCGAATCACACCATGGGTGCTTGCTGCTGATTCCGCCAAGATCAGCAATCTTGAGTTGGTTGCAGAGACCATGGAGGGCGGTCACATTTTCTTGGAAAATTCTGTCCAATCACTCCACGAGATTAACAGCCTTCTCGGGTTAAATCAACCAAAGCCAGAAGGTGCTGAGGTGCAGGGTGATGACGATTTCTGGTTGGAATCAGAGAACCCCAAAGGGAAGAAAACGAGGAAACACACAGAGGAGAGGCCGGAGCAAAAGAAGGGAGACATATGGTCCGCATTGCATGGAAACTTAGGGTTGCTCGGTCAAGACCGTTCAGTATAGCGATTGCTTTTTATATAACATTTATGTCACCTAGAAAGTACGTGGATATCCCACCTCAACGCCACGTTAATTTATCTTCTAAACGCCGTATTCCATCTTGCTTCTCATAACTATTAGACAATTCATGACGCAGACAAGATAGAAGATATTCTCATGGCCACATCTAATAAAGAGAGATGCTCATCAGCACCATCGGCTAGCCTCTTATCAACCTCTGAGAATATCATGACAATCTTGTTTTTCTGCGTATCTGGGATGGACTCATCCGTCGTAAGGACAGAATAAAGCTTTAGAGCCAGCGTTAGTAATTATTCATGATAGAAGCGTTGGAGGGGAAACCAACCTGCGATACTACCTGCCCGGCACTCCAGCCATCCGCCACCAGATCTTCGACCACCTTAGACACAGACCGATATGCCTCACCAACGCTGCTTGGTCGCATCGCCTTCACAAGCTCATCGATCGTGCTATCCGGAATGACACCTGCAATGTCCTCGATAATCTTCACAGTGACGGCTTTCTTATCGACGTCCATCTGATCCGCATCGTCCACCTCCTCTTCCGAGTCCTTCTTCTTGGCAGAGGCGCCGACCAACCTTGCAGCACTCTGAAGAAAGGTGATGGCCTTTCTCAAATCACCCTCACTGCACTTGATCAACGCATCGACTGCACCGGGGTCAAGGGGTACTCCCTCTCCCTCCGCAATATGTTCTATACGCTTTCTAGCGTTGCCCTGGTCCAGGCTCTTGAACCGAAACTTGCTGCATCGACTGGCAAGAGGGTCGATAATTCTGGTCACGTAGTTGCAAATTAAGCAGAATCGAGTGATCTTGCTGTATGTCTCCATCGTCCGTCTCAACGCACTCTGGGCGTCTTGTGTCATCGAGTCCGCCTCATCAAGAATGATGATCTTGAAAGGCGGGCAGGGGTACTTCTCCTTGTATGCGGCGGTCGGGTTCGTCAACTGCATGCGAGCGAAATTCTTGACCTTGTCTCGGACAATGGATATGCCTCGCTCGTCGGATGCGTTCAATTCAAGGACTCGTGACTTCATCATTTCTGGGCCGTACAGCTGCTTCGCGAGCGCCAGGATCGTCGATGTCTTTCCGGTGCCGGGAGGTCCGTAGAAAAGCATGTGAGGCAGCTACGCACGGCATGGTCAGCTTGTTGAGATCACGGGAGTCGGTCTGGGATCGTACGTTGGAAGCCTGCAGCGTCCTCTGGAGGACTGTGACTGTGTGGTCTTGCGCCGTGACATCGTCCAGGCTCTTCGGGCGGCTGCAGATAGAAGAGAGGTTAGTTGTGTATACTCTCTACGAGAAGAGCTCCTGCTGCACTGACTATTTCTCCACCCATGGTTGAGTGCTCCCATCTTTGGCCTTGTCCTGTTTCTGGTCGGCATTGCCATTGGCGGCAGCGGCTTTCCGAGCCTTGAGGTCGAAGAAGCTCGCCATTGCAGTCCGTCTGTGCTGTGTCGAATGTAGTTCAAATGCCGAACTGGGTTGTTTCTGTCTGAATTGCAGTGGAATTAATATCTAACAGAGCAGCGGTGGCTGAATGATGCTCCCAAACGCTTATGGTGGTAAAATTACAAAATATTGGTTTAACTCGGTGATTTACCTGCTCATATAAGCCTAGATCTTATAGCCAGGCTATACTTTTAAGCTTAAGATACAGGGGTTTAATAATATAAGTAATTAGGATTATCTCTTTAATCTCTAGCTAGCTAACCTATATATTAGTTATAAATATATATAAGATTATATACCTAGTTAGGTAACTATAATAATATATACTTTATAACCTGATATTAAACTAATACTAGTAGTTTTTTCTTTATAAAATAGCTAGCTATAATAATAATAAGGAGATAAATAAATATAATATATATAATAGATAAAATATAAGATTAAGAGATTATTTAATTAGTATAGTTAGTATTATATATATAGCTATATTATTAAATATATATTAATTAAATAAATAATAGGAAAAAATTTATTAATTATAATAATAATAGGAAATAATATATTATAAATCTAAAGTCTTCTTTTTATCTACTTACTTAAATAAATAAACCTAGTAATAGCTGCTCTATATAGATATTAAGTATCTATTTTAAACCTAATCTAATATAAGAGAGATATAAAATATATATATTAAAGATTAGATAGATTAAATAAGTATAAGCTATAGTAAATAGAAGTAAATTAAATATAGCTAGAGCTCTTATAGGCTACTATCTAGCTTAATAAGTACTCTCTAAATTAATAAATTAATTAGTAATTTACTATATCTAAATAATTAAGGATATCTATAATACTAAATTAGCTATAATTTATAGCTAATTAGATTTACTTAAACCTATTATTCTTTACTTTATTTAATAATTATACTTAATTAAATTAAGAATACTATTTATATACTTAAGAGAACTAGTAGATTCTAAAAATCTATAAAAAAATTATTTTCCTCTAAGGAGATTAAACTTTTCTTCTTCCTTCCTTAGTTTTTTTAGTTCCTTAGTTATCTACTCTTCCACTCTCTTATATAGTCTTTTATATATACTAGCTATATACTATTACTAATAATATACCTCCTAAGAAGTCTAAGAAGACTATCTCTACTAGTAAGAAAACTACTACTTCTAAGAGTAAGTATAGCTATTCTATTATTTATATAATTATTTAATTAACTAATAGCTCTTATAATAGCTTATAAGATTAATAAGCTTTACCTAGTTCCTTATAAGGTATATATTTATTCTTATCTCTCTAGTAAGTAAAAGGAGATTAATAAAAAAGATATTTATTATAATACTATTAGTATAAAGAAGAAGCCTGCTTAGTATTATAAGTATATCTCTAGATATATATATAAACTAATATAAGTTTTTTTAATTACTTCTTTTTATCTTACTTTTAATTATTTATTAAATAGTTTAATTAATTATTAGTACTTTTATCTAGTTCTTTTATTATATTTAAAGCTTATATATACTACTTATAGATATATAATAATTATATTATAAAGAAGATTAAAACCCCTCTTACTAAGGTAAATTCTTTTACTTATTCTATTTCTTAATTATCTAATCTTTAGATCTATTAATTAGTAAGATAGGAATATATTAAATAGTATATTATTATCCTTAGGATACTTAAATTAGTTAAGGAGAAAGCTAAGAAAAAGAGAAGTAAGCCTAATACTAATCTTATTAGAATATCTATTTCTAAGCTTAAAAAGAAAGCTAAGTTAATTACTCTCTAGCTTATTAAGGCTCTCTAGATAGATAAAACTAAAAAGGAATTTAAAAAGGAAAAGAAAAAGTAAAATTACTCTTTAGATAGTTTACCTATACTTTAGTACTTTCTTTATTTCTATTAAAAGCTTCTAAATACTAATTACCTTTAAATTAAACTTTCTTACTATTTTTATTTTTAGCCTTTTTAATTTATTCTTTTACTCTAATTTCTATACTATTTATACTTATAAGCTCTTCTAATATTTTATTAGGTATTACTTTTATTATTATATCTATAGGGTTATTTACTCCTATAATTTATTAAATCTTATCTATTTCTTATTTCTTATAACTCTACCTAAGTACTATAAGATCTATTATTAAGTATTTCTTAGTTATTATACTTAATTAAATAAGATATTAATAGAGTAAGAAAGAGTCTATATATATAACTAGCCTTATTAAGGGTAAATTAAACCTCTTTATAATCTTAATAAAAGTATATTTAAAAACCTAAGCTATATTAAAACTACTAATTATACTATAGATTTTACTTATAAATACTAATCTTATTACTCTCTTATACTTTATAAACTACTAATAGATAATATTCCTAGTTATTATAAAGCTATAAGAGTACTTATTTACTCTCTTATTTCTATATAGTATAATAAAGCTAATCTAAGAGCTTAAATTTTTATTATTTATAAAGAATCTATCTATAAATATATATAATTATATAGATAAAAGATCTAAAGTAATATATTTTAAGCTTTACTCTATATTCTTAATCTACTACTTAATATATTTATTAAGTACTTTATAATCTATTTTAATAGGTTTTTATACTTATACTATAACTAAATAGTTAAAAATAGCTTTAGATTAATAAGTTAATATAATATATACTCCCTAGGCTCTCTATACTATATAGAGTTCTCCTATACTCTTTTATTCTATATCTATAAGCCTAAGGTAATCTACTTAATTCTTTTAATATATTTTAATTATCTCTTTAAATACCTTTATTATATAACTATTAAAGGATCCCTCTAACCCTAAAGTAAGTAAATTAACTAGTTTTACTTTAAAGCTTACTTTTAAGAGCTCTACTTCCTCTAACTTAATAAACTTTTACTTTTTAAGATTAAGAATATTATCTATCTATATTCCTATAATTCTAAAGCTTCTTCTAGCTCTTATTATAAGTAGGTATAGATTATAACTAGATTAAATATAGTATAATTACTACTTATAGTATTCCTAATAGATTATAAATTAATAAAAACTAGTTTTAGCTATATTATAAAGAGGCTTTACTACTTAGAATATAATTCCTTCTAGATAATAATCTTTTAGCTTTTTTAGAATATCTAATACTATATTATATAATAGCTTAATTATACTCTAAGTATAAGCTTAACTAATATTCTAAAGTATTAGCTATATTCCCTTTTATTAGAGTATAACTATAATTACTAAGATTAACTATTAGCTATATCTTATAATTATTAGAGATTATATAAGGAGTATTATCTTCTCCTAGTTACTATAGCCTTATATAACTAGCTTTAACTTCTTATATAGTATCTTCTTTATACTTTTAATCTCTTTTATAAGATAGTAACTAAAGAGTTTTATATTTAGAATAACTATATATCTAATTAGAATAATTATTTCTTTAGTAAGAAGAAAGTTAATTTCCTCCTAGTTTAACTATTTAAAGGGTTTTCTAGAGGTTATAATATACCCTTTA